GATGGAGCTTAAATGGTTAAATGGAGCCCAAACACCATTTAGGGACCATACTACAACAATAGGAGCATGTCTCTGAAACATCCTTCCTGGCACACCAAATTATTTCTAACATGATAAACCTCTGTATAATCTTTTTTGTAGAAATATAACTAGCAGGCCTTAAAACACACAAGACTTCCCCAACCAATCCCTTCAGAACACTTCTTGCCATTTTTCTTTCTGATATTTTGTTAGAATTTGAATTTTTAGATGCATCTAAATATAATTGTACATAGTTTCCTGAGATTTCTGCTAGATTGCTGTGCTTAAGAATCTCTGCATAGTTCTATTTTCCTTGAAATATAATGACCAATGCTATGGTCACTAATTGGAATGGTCCGTCTCAGCAGATGAAAACCTGGGCAAAAGTGCAGAACATTAACAGTTCAAAAGATAAAACCTTGAATTCTCTCTCCATAATTCTGTTGGTTGCATTTCATTTGCAGGTACCATTTTGGACATTCATATTTTCTTATCCGTTCTTTTTTTTTTTTTTTATCAATTTATTTTATAATTTGTGCTCCAGTATATATATATATAAGTGGTATGTTTTTAATTGTTAGATTATGTTGGAAGCTAGTTTGAATGCATCTTAAGAAGCTTAGATGAACCTTGAAAATTTTTTTCCTTGTTGGGTCGGGATGTGGTAGTAAATGTGTGTTTAATGTAATGGCAAATAAATCTGTTTTGATTAACAATCAATGTACAACTGGAATAATCTTATTTATATTTTATTGGGTGGAGAATGATATTTAATTTTTCATTAGTTGGGGGGCATAATTTTCTAGTCACATCATGTTGTACTGGCTCATTTGAACCCATAACAGTGCTTATTTGTTCTGAATTCATACCAATATTCATTTTTGGACATCTTCCATTATGTGCTAATGTCACGTAGCAAAATTGTGTAGATGCAACTTAATTAGCTTAGATGAACCTTGAAACATTTCCCTTGTTGGATTTGGAGTGGGGGAGAGAGAATAAACACTTGTTAAATAAATAAAAAAATGAATTTTCCGTCTTGTCTGAAGCTTGTCCGGATTTTGGACATTACGTTTAGAGTTAGATTCTACACATATTTCATTTGATTTACGTTTAATGTGCAATGGAACAATTATTTATGTTTAATTAGGCAGTGAATGGTATTAATCTTTCATTATTTGGTGTGCATGATTTCTAGTCACATCAT